CTGAGTTTTTGTCTAAAAACTCAAGAATCTTTCGATTCTTCCGTAAGTTGAAGATTTCAATTCCTTTCAACATGTAGTTTACATATCGAATCTGTTAATATCTCAGTAATTTGAAATCGAAACGAATCATTAATTCGTCAGGTGATGTTGTTGAGTGGACGAAAGCTGCAATATCAAGACAAGGCGGCAGAGTGTGCAGACAAAGAAATCAAAACCAGACAAGAAGAAGATGCAAAGGGAGCTGATGATGAATTCGTGACCCTGGTAAGGTTCACAGAAGAGAACCCAACAGGGAGAGCAACCGCCCTGTTGAACTGGAAGCTGTTGGTGGTTGAATTGTTGCCCGAAGAAGATGCTGTTTTGGTGCTTCTGCTTTGTGTTTCGATACTCAGGACTGTGTCCGAGATGAGAAAGGAAGATGTAGGAAGTTTGTTGATAAGGAGGAGGTTGAAGGAAGCGAAACTCGGTGCCAGAGACTGGGGTTCTGTCGTACTTCACCCTTCTTCACCGCCCTCATCCATTGCTTCAACATATCTGCAACCCTGGTATTGGAATGCTAACAAAGTGATGGCACAGCATGAAGATAACAGTATCACAAGGCAACCGGCATCTAATTATTCACCTGTTGAAGGTGGCGATATGTTGTACAAGCGAGGGATCATCACATTATAAGAAATCCTTCAGAGCAGAGTTTGTACCATTTTTTTATCAGCAATGGAAAAGAGATGCACTGGATTTGCATGACAATACACTTTGCATGTCATTTTAAGTGCATCTCAAGAAGCATGTGTTACTTGAATTTTACATTGATATCGATTATAAATTAAAATAAATTTAGATATTTAAATATTTATAAATAAAATTAAAAGATTCAATTGATCAAATTGAATAATGTCTTATAACATAATATGAATTGTGGCATTTCTACTATCAGACAAAGCTAAATGCTTTGGCCATAAATGATTCCAAATTACAAATTCTAATTCCTTAATGCAGGCTTCAAATGGAATTGCCTCAGGACTTCCAGGCTACCAGTTTCCAGATTGGGAAAGCAAGCTCATAGATTTGGGTTTAAGAATTTAATACCCAATTTAACAACAGACATTATACAGCACTATAAAAGGAAAAAAAGAAGAAGTAATAAAGAAAGAAAGAGAAAAGAAAAGTTGGGAAAGTTGCCTATCAATCTACTCACTGCAGTGTACTGTATAAGCTGTGTTGATTATCAAGAGCCAATGCCCTATGAACTGTCTGCCAGTTATCATCCATGTGCCATGTGGTGTAGATCCTCGTGATTTTTGCACATATTAAATGAAAGTCAGAACTAGTATCATCATTGGTTTAACATGGAACACAGAAATTGCTCCATGACATGTGCCCTTGACTAAATGCCGTAACTGCAAATTTTAATGGCAGAGAGTTTGAGATCAGCCACCACTTTCTATTTTCAACATATTAAAAGAAATATAATATATATATATATATTTCACTTATTTATAATTATTTCATCCGTTTTATTTTGTTATTTCATTTGTTTAAGATGTCTAAAAATAAGCCAAAATAATAAATTTTATCTTAATTTTTATAAAATTAAAAGATTTAATGTTTTT